ACAGGTGATGAAATGATTATGAACAATGATGAATTAGACATTTGTAAAAAATTATATTTGTAAAATCTCAGCGATATTGAAATGAGTAATTCCAACGTTTCGTTCGGCAGTCTGGAGCGAACTTCTTCAGGGAAATTAATCAAAATAAACATAACAGAGGTTTATATATAAAAGGAACATCTCTTATTTTTAAAAACACTTTGTCCAATCATGAGTCATAAAACAGGCATCAACATGTACAATAAACAAAATTGTATGAGCTGTGATCAAAATGTGACCTCGGACATACAAATATTGGTCTAAATTTGTTAAACACTTTAAACACAGTGTGCATGTGCACGGATAAACAGTTGTAAAACAATGTCTTAACGTCATCATAAGTAGACATAGACAGTCGGGAACTTTGACCGAGTATTATTATATAATTTTTTGCAAATGTCTACTTCTCATTCGGCGCCCAAATATTTTAGAACTATTCTGTCAAATCTTGACTACAGTTCATTTGAATGATGAATTATATTCGAAACTTGTTCATCCACTAAATAATAATAATGTCTCTGTCTGTGATACATCTCATACACAAATTGAAATGGAATTAGTGGCGGTAAGTATTGTTGTAATGAAAATATTATTCTCGACATGCATCAGAGGTTAGATCCAAATTTACTTTGGCGAAGGTTGGTTGAATTTCAGAACACAACTGAAATATCGCTGATTCAAAGATGGCCAAATATGTAGTCTCAATTCCCATGCGACTATATATACAACTCATGTTCTCTATATTTTGCATAAAGATATCTTTAAGTTTAGTTTGGTTGCATAGTATGTATAGGGAATGTTTTGGCTTATGAATAACACTGGATGAATGGAAGGTGGATAATTCGAAAGCAAAAGACCAGTTACTATGATTTTTTCGACAATATTAAGACCTCCATCTTCAATGTAGATCAGGTTGAAAGGTGTTCTACAAATTCGATCATACTTCTACACTCAATACCTAAGCTATTTTTTGTGGAGCAATGGTGTATACCAGCGTCCGCCAGACTCATTAACACATGCTTTTATTCTATTACACGTTGTGTCCATGACGCTTTATTATGTTCGCTTCTGCATTTAAAATATGGCTTAAACTATAATGAAAAGCTTTAAAGACCTTATGTTGAGCATATTCTAGAAATTACGTAGCTGTGAATAAGGAATTGCTAAATTAGGTCAGACATTTTTCTGTGTTATAATGAATTTGCCTGTCGCTATCTAGCTACTCACAAAACATGTAAGTAGAATGATGCGTTTTAGAAAATTAAAGCTAGTTGTGATAGCTTTAATTCAGCCAAGTGACAGTATAAAAATGACTGCTTCAAGCATAAGCAAACTAATGGTATTAGTAATAACTAGAATTATGGTTATTAATATAACTCTCTCAAATATTTCATAGAAGTGCAACAAAACGTGGTGAGCTTCAGCAGAGAGACCGTGTGTGCAGCGAGACATTGAATGTAAAACGTTCTGTGTGTATCTCTGTTTCACACTCTCATACTTCTTGTGCGTGTGTGTGAGCGAATCTCTGTGAATTGTAATGAGCAGTGAGACAATTTACCCAGATGCGAGAAAATTAGTTGAGATATTCAAGTTACTGTAATAATAATAATAATATTATCATTATCAACATTATTAATGATATTATTATAATTCTGATTAGTGATATATATTCATACAATAAATACAAAGTCGTATTTCTTCAAATTTAATCAGTCAAGGCTTCGTGTTATCGGAAGATTCAGGTTGTCAGAAGAATGTTGGTTAATTAGAAATAGTGGTGTCACAACTGATAAATTCATAGCGTGTTCATTAGCACCTAAATTAAGACAAGAGATATATTATGGTTTCTGTGGTTGTATATAATATCCTCAGAGAAGATTTTGTTTTATTCTCAATGAACTCATCCTTATATATTTATTTCACACTCAAATTTTCATATGCACATTGACCACATTTCTCTTACTTCACTTGAATTTCTCCACATCGTCTTACTCATTCTCTCCCATTCGCTGAATTTTCACAAGGTGTTTAGTGCCACTGGCTTCTTTGGCTATTTGCGTGTTTGTTTATTTGCGTGATTTGTGAATGTATTGATTAGAGTTCGAGATCTGTAGGACTGTTTCACTTCACTCACACCGTCTACACTCACACATCCCTCTCTTTCATCTTCCACATCATGTCAAAATGAACTAAACAATGAGTGAATGAATGTGTGGATGGAGGGATGGCTAATTGGGTGAGTGAGTGTGATTTCTGATAACCTGGCGAAAATATGACATGAAGGAATTAGTGATTTGTAGTAGATCATCCTCCCCAGACGAATAGCCAAACCTAATTACTGATTTGCAAATACCTGGACACTGGGATTCTCATAAATCTGTGTGATGTACATGCATTGATCAACTCAAATCACACGTGCGAATGAGCTGAATGCAGAGCGTGGAGACGGGTATCTTAGAAATTTACTTACATCTGTGCCTTTCGTATAGTAGTCATTTATGCATATTGTCATTAGTAAAGTACAGTTCCACATTCACCAGTGTCTACAGATACTTTAACACAGAAATCTGAGAGTTCTTATCTCCTGTCTGATGTGAATTTTATTGATATATTTTGTGTTTCTCACTTTTACTGAATGTCACATAACACACAGTCCATCGGAATTTCAATAAATCCTACACATTTAAGGCTTCCAGATTTAAATCTGAAATTCTATCATGCGGATTTCCAAGTAGCTACACACTATTATTTCAGAATCTATCCTAATTCAGTCGGTTTGTGGATATTTATCAGTCTTCGAAATCCTTCCTTCGTTCCATACTCCTAGTGTCTTTTCTTTGTTCCTTTCATTGTCCGGTGATTACCTGTGTTGAGAAATAATAGTAGTCATAATAGTGATGATTACGTGTTTACATATTTTGAGTGAAGCTAATAGTTTCACACACTTATTTTGATGACGTATTTGTCCGATAGCAAGATGTCATGAAATTGTGTGAAAATTTCAGTGGAAGTGTTAGCTTTGACGCTTTCTACTGACAAGTTCACACACACTTATAACATCTGATACATCTGTTCAATTGAATGACAATTCTAGATATTCCTCAGACATTCACTGCTGGCTTTGCTGTTCAACATGCTACTGAGTGTGGACGTCTTTACATGACAATTGACTTTATGATTCTCATTCCACCACAGTGTTAAAACGTCGAGAGTAAACGCTTTCCTAATGAACCATCGAATAACACTTGGTATAAGGAATTTGCCAAGTGATAAATTCACTAGATACGCAGCATAAAATGATGATATATTTAGATCCATGTGAATGTTGTCTGAATCACATTTACTTCACTCACTCACTCACTCAGGTGCAGAATCTGATGGCTCATTATTCTTATGAAAGAAGGAATACTATGAATTGTGCTACATCAATAGGTCTTGAATAAATGGATGCCTTGCACTTCAGGTATTTACCCTTCTCTTTCTGCATCCACAAACAGAACAATCAGCGAATTTTCCTGCCTTGAATCCACAAGCCCACACCGATAACTTTCATGTTCAATGTGACATGCATTTTTGAAATGGTCTGAGTTCAGATATACTTTCACCACTTGCTATTCAACCCGATGTGATTCCCAATCGAATACGTGTGAAAAAGAGAAGAAGTAATTCACTATGGGTAGCAATAATATCACAAATATACTCGAGAAAGAGAGAGAGAGAGAAGATGTTTTATTCGGGGATGAAAATATTTTATTATTATATATTTCACTAATGCTAAACTACAAAAGCCTGTAAGAGGCAGAATTCATTACTAGAATTAAGTGTTGGAAATGTTTGAAAAATTTCAGCGACAGTAATGCATCACTGTTGTGGATTCAAGCGTTGCTTCCTTATTTCTTCACGTGTATCTACCACCTAGATGAGAATTTTAAAAATGATTAATATGTATACAGCAATGTGGAGAGAATGGGTCTGTTCTTCTTGAATTTCTATGATTCTGCTTGCGCCTCTACTGCATTCCTACCGAGATTCATCATCACTCACACAAAATCCACAACACCTCACTATATCACATTAAACACGTCAGAGGTATGAATTTTAAATCTATCTCAGTCTGTATCATTTATTGAATAAAAGTGTATAGTCTCACAGCATATGAAAGAAAACACATCATCCCCCATGAATGAGTTTGAACATTGAAAACATCAAGATGAAACGCTTTAATATTTGGAATGACATTTGGATTATATACGACCACAGGTTAAGCGCAGCTTAATTTATTCGCACTTTTCGAAAGCATACAAATGGAGATGTGTTTCTATCCAAACTTCATCTGCAGAGTGATCCACGATATCAATGCGATAATTCCTGTGTGTTGACTTCATGTTGACTGACTCAAAGGGAAGACTGACAGTGTCATCCACTCCCTATTCTTCAATTACGTTCATTATTATCATATAATTTCATGATATGCATGTCTCGCGAGCACTAGGCAAGTGATCATTAATGAGCATCCGAATGAGACTCTTTACCGTCATCATGTTCATCGTCATCAACTTAGACTGTCAAAAACTGATTGTCTGCAATCTCTACAGGTTTTACTACAGTCAGCATACTTTTCTTTTCAGTGAACTGTTTGTGGTTAGACATAAATAGGGTCACTAAACACTTTTATTTAATAACATCAGCTCACATTCACAGCAACAGCCAAGTCGTTAGAGAAGCCACTGAGATCTGAAAATTGAAATGAAGAGTTGATTAGTTTCACAGGATTTCACTTTCCACAGCGGGATACGCTTTCCAGTCACATCGTGTTCGTTGCACAGAAAATAATGTAATAAATCAATTCAAGTGTGGGCTAGAATGTAGTGACCGATATACATGGATGTGTTACGTGTGTGTTCGTGTGTGCGAAAGTCAAGTTCGCAGTGAAATGAAATCACTTTTCTAAAGAGTCAATGCAACCATGGACTTCCATCACTGATCGACATTGTGCGCACGGTGGATTTCAAAGCCATTTTAACAGAAATGCTTAGAGCTGTAAGATTTACAGATGTAGTAGTAGATTGACGCGAATCGAAATGATCATTAGCAGTCAGCAAGCAAACTCATACAGTAGCATTGTTGAGAAACCTCTTCAATATCAAATTGGCTGCTTCAGGAAGGATAATAAATTCACCAGTCCACCCCGTAAACAAACAAGGAGAATTTTCATGTGCTTACAAGTGTTTTGAAAATATCTTGATCGCCATACGGATTCATTTGATAACCAAACTTTCAACTTTCTGAAAGCTATTAAACATCAAATCATAAAAAATATCACATTACAGGGTGTGAATGAATTCTATAACTTCACTTGAGATGAAAATGAAAATCGGAAAACCAAATTTATTCAAATATGACAGTGACTGGCTTTCATAGTCATTCAGGAGAGCATGCTCAGCTGTGGTTTTCTTTCAAAATTCGGCTTCCAATGAAAGGGTGTGAGTAGACACACACACAAGTGAAAAATTTGCTCCACTGTACACCTCGAAAGCTTACAGGTGATTATATGACATCCTAAACCATTCATCAATTTTCGTTTGTGTCTGGATAAATAAATAGGGAGGAGTAATCGCGCTTTGCATGTGAAGGTGGGAGAACATATTCTGAAATGATTATACAGAGAGGTGGACATTGGAAAATAAATAGACGCAGGTGGTAGACTACCGACTCCGTCCGTAGCCAAACATCTATTCGATCTGAACGATAAGATTGGTGTTTACAATGCTAATAAAATCATATATAATAATGATCATGAGCACTCACTGAAATATGCTGAGGTTATAGCTATTCACAGACTTAAGCCCTCTCCGGCCGCTGTGTGTTGAAGAACCATTTGCAATTACTCTTAACCTTCCTTGGTAATCCTCATCTGATTGGGTAACCAAACGTAGTGTGAATCAATCTTATTATTCTTAAATGCTTTCTGTCACATTGTGTACTGCAATTGACCTGTGTTTTTTCATATCAATTGACTTAACAAGTAAATGTGTGAACCATCAGATTGTTCAAAGTTAATTCAACAAACACAACACATCTTCGCCTTCTTCTAATAACACTACCGACTTTTATGGAAACAAAAAGAATTAATTCAAAATACCTTCTATGAATTGTGTTGGTTCTATGCATGGCGAATATTTTATAGTATTCTGCTCATCTGTAAGATCGAGAGGAATAACATAACAGTGATACACATAAGTACTGAAAATTCGTTTTGCCACAACGCCAGACGTCATAAAGTGTTTGGTTGGCACAGAAAATGTATCTAATATGGAATTACACTTATATATTTTACACTTATGTTAAGAAATCAAAGTCACTGAATGCATAGTAAAACACCTCTGGTGGTTCAATATCTAATCGATAAACAAAGCAGCTGTGTTTCCTTTCCTTCACATCGAAAAACGTCGAAGAGACAGTATTCCACCCATATGGTGTAAAAATTGGGAAGGCAGGACAGGTATTTTTACAGGCAAATCCCTCTTCTAATGGATTTGAACAAAGTAATAACAAAGACAATATGTTCAAACATTATCTTCATCTTAGGTTCCAAGTGGAACATGAGTCCTGAACCGCACAAATCTATTTTGTCGTGTTGGCAACAGTCATGTCCATCTTCCCTATGACTGTCCATTCTCTATCATCTCTTTCTCGCATAGTCTCCTCCATGTGAGCATCACACTCGTGTCCAAATAATCGTCCTCCATTCAGTTCCATCCAAGTGATTGCCTGGCGCGTGATGGTCCCTACAAAGTGTATACAATCCATCTCCATTATCTTCCGCACATTTGATGATTAGTATTGTCTTCATTGGTTTGCTTTACTTCTGAGCTTCTTATTCCTAATTCCTTCTGGCAAGTGGACCATATCACCGGCATTATGGAGCCAGCCAAGTCAGCTGTTGATATAAATGTGTAATAGGTCTGTTGGAAACGCTCTTCGTGGTGTACAAGTCAGGTCTCTCGCCTTTACGAAAGAAGTGATTTGGTTAAAATTGGTGTTGAAACCCCGAATTCGGTAGTTCATGCTGAGGCGAAGTACAGTAGATTTTCAAAGTGATTTCAGATTGATGAATGTCTGTCTTGTCTTTTCGATTCTAGCTGGCCGCGACACTCTCATGCATTCCGACTGTCTGTAGCTGAAACGACAATTCCCAGCCAGAGAGGTGAAGGGTGTAGCTTTCTACAAACTTCTCCCAGTGATAAGGATTCATGCTTCATATCGCTGTTAGCTGGTTATCTTTATCACCCTCGTCTCCTCAATGTCCGCCATTAAGTCTTCGACGTTTTGTGACGCTTAACACAAATCGGATATTCTAGAGTCTTCTTATGACTTCCTCTCGCACAGTCTTCTGCATAATCCATTCCACCTTAATTAGGAATATCATTGGTGATAGTTGGCACACGTGATCCAATTAAAAAATTCACGGTGAACGGAATTCATTCGATTTTTTATTCAGCATTTATTCTCAACAATAGCTAAACTTTATTATTCATTAAGGTTCAACTTCAGCATGAAGTGAGTTGATCACTTTCACAAACAGAGCTTACAACATAAACATTCATTTAGGTGAGCTAACTATTATATGAAAAAAAGTTAAAGGGTTATGCATAAATATTTATTAATATTAGTTATTCCTCACTTGTGAATCGATCAATCTCTTTTTGTACAAAATCAATATGCTGCTGCATTTCCTTCATATAAGGACCTGAATGATGTAAAGAAAAGTGAACATTTACGCCAAGTTTGAATTAACAATAATTACCCATAAGTAGGTATGTGTAAATTGTGGAAATTTTCCATATCATATTTAAGAAAATGAAAGTTAAGACGGAGGCTGTCGATGGTCGATGAAATATTCATCGCTTCGTCCTCTCACTCTTTCATACAAATAAACTCACACTTACAGCAAATTGTGATAAGCAGTTGGGAGGATATTGCAGAAAATGTTTATAAAACTAATGGATACGTACTATATGTTTCATTTAGACGATCCAATCTCACCATAATTTCTGAAATTTATTGTGAAAAAAAACGTCCTATTTAAGCAAAGTCTTTGATAATACATTAATGAGATATGCTGATTTAGTTTAGTGAAGTAATATTCTCAGAATACATTTGTGATATGAGGCGATGAAGATCATTTGAAGACAACCTGGTCCTTCAATTAAACTTATTTTTCTCTTTTTACCATGGATACCGTGAGCATTAGTTGTCCTCGAAAATACTTAAAACAGTGTGTTCCTTTAACAAAATTCAAATATCCTCATTGGAGATAACGGAGTTGTTCCGGAAGAATTTGAAGTATTGCCTAATCCACTCGAAACACTGTGTCGCTACACAAACACACAGACAAACACTTGAAATTTCAGTTTGAATAAAAATGGAGGAGGTGTAATGTCTAGTGAAGCAATCAGAATTAAACAGGAATTTAGGCATGTTAAGGATGATAACTGATACTACTCCTGATACACAGATAAGGATAGTGAAAGGAGGATCATAGCAATCAGAAATGGTTTTCACTCAAGCAAGCTGGGCTTAATGTCACACACGGTGATCACCTCAGATTACTTCAGTATGCACCGCCAGCCTTTTATCTGGTCATATGCAAACAATTTTAAAACCCATTTTGATATTATTCTTATGACTAACGAATTACGATGAATTAGTTCAGTTCGTTCAAGTGGTTTCCATTCCCATACAACTGTCTCTTATGTCTCAATTTCGTCACTCATCAGATACACCCCAAGAAGGAATTAATCACTGGTGAAAGTGTCAAGAGGTTTCTTATATCAAATAAAACCACGTGATAAGAAACGAACGAGGCTCTAGTTTCATCACGGATTGATATCAGTTAGGTAATGATTGGAAACCGGCATAAAGAAATGTAAAACTCTTTCGTGCTACACTCGGACTCATCAGTAATACACGCCCACCGACATTCGTCTTCAGGAACATGCAGTCAGAAAACAAGCTTGTCGACCATTCAGCCACTGTGAACCAACTCCTCAATGGTCAGCCCATGAATAAATACTTCTAGTAATTCGTGATTTTCAAGGTGACTGGTGCCAGTCAATGGATTCAGAGTGTGTTTATCCTCAGCCGAGATCAGATGAACCTCACCAGTCACGACTTCAAACAGAAATTCACAGGAATTCACTTCGTTCTGTAGGCAGTCAGTAACTGGGGAGTATCAGATTTATTTTCAAGAGTCAGTTAAATACAAATTTACAAAATTCTTCACAAACCTCTATAGGATTTCAGTCGATTATTCACTTCAAAGAGTTTAGTGTAACACCTACAACTGGAAATTATTTTTGTTTAGTTGTCTAATTTATATTTTCGGCTTACACTTATCCATCAGGGTTCTCCTTTTCACTTTCCTCAATAAATGAGCTAAATTATGAGCAAGAAGAAGATGTGAGAAGGTGAAAAAAACAATAAAAATCTGAATAAATTTCTTGATTTATAAAAAAATGGGTGAAGATATTAAATGGTTGATGAGATTCAATGATATAAGTGAAGCAGAAATTACTTGCAGAGAGAAAAGTCGGTTAAATGAGAATGAGTCGTTGACACTTGTATGGGATTGTCTCACTTCTTCACCTGACTTATCTCACGTGGCAGTGCAGAAGAGATAAATGATTCCGACAGACGTGATGTCGATGGTTTTGTTGTTTTACACACATTCATCAGCAAGTCCTAAAGACTAAAAGACTATTTCGTTTCAGATGATATCGAGATTTATTTTGACAGGTGGCGATAATTCTCTTGAATCACCTCCAGGAGATGTTTGCATCACCTCACTAATGTCTTCCATGCTACATGCTGCGTTGATGCGTAGACTACAGTATCAAAATATCGACCTACTTTATAGTTCTCAGGGTTGTAGGAAAGTCAGTAATTATTCAAGGTCACTCTTGACCTTCATCAGAAATGAATGCAGATAAAATTCATCGAGTAACGTACTTTTAGTAGCATTAACTTGCCATTGTGCAAGCTTCAAAAGATTGTCGCTCCGATTTGCCATTCCTGTAACGAAATTGAATATTAAACACAGGAGACATATATTTTAAAGACCACTCAATAAATATATATATATATATACTATTTTATCCCTAACGTCAAATCGATCACAGGTAATCAGAGATGAAAGACTCCTTCTCATAGGACATTTGATCGCAAAACTATTGACAACAAGAAATCCGAAAGAACGACGGATAGACGTTGATTTTTGTGAAAATGTCAGCACACTCTTTCAAACACACCCCAATGCACAAGAATGCAGTGCACTGCAAAATAATCCTTTTTTCATTTGAACCATATTAGCATGTGAACTAATCACAAAACAGAAGTCAAACGGCATTTGATCCCATTTCGTTCAACAAATAGAGATCATGTATTTTCACCTCACCATTGAACAAGCCAGACCAACGAACCATTGCCTGATATCGTGTTTCTTCTTCTAAAGTTTCATCTAAAAGAAAAATATGTAAAGAATCTGCGATACGCTCAAAAAGCATATGAATATACAGAATGAATTGTCAGGAAATATTACAGTTAATAGTTATGCAATGGCTTTCCATGCTGATTTTCAGCCATATCATTTTGCTGATGTCTATCGTGCGAAATACTGTGTTGGTGTGTAGCCTGCAGTATCAGAATATTGACTATTTTACCATTGTCAATGGGCTTTGGAATTGTGTATTATTGTGTGTGATAAGTGACCTAAGTGAAAAGTAAATGCAGAGATAGTTTGTCAGGTGACATACTTTTATTTCTAACGCCAAAGATTCTTCGATTTGCAGGATTAATAGGGTCTCTTCTTGACAATACTGAAATGGAATACAATTTTTATTTATTGAAGCTTTAATTTTAACTATTCCTCAAAAATCCACAAATTAGGTTATCCTCAATTTCAAATTGTCCACAGATATGCAGAAAGCAAACACATTCTCAAGGGATCTTTAATCGAAATACTCATCCTTCATGCTATTTTGGTGTGACACAGACAATGGGTTCCAACGAAGTATTATTATTTACACATTAAGAGTCATTGCATTGGTCGGTATTAACGTATGAATACTAATCACACAGCTGAGTAAGGCATTAGCAGCAGAATAATGTGTGAAATTGAACATCCTATTTCATGTCGTTTAATGTAAACCAAAATCACACGCTCAGTAATTGGTTGAAGAATAAATCATCGTATGATGATATTTGATTCCCGCGTCTTCCCTCGTGCTGCTAGAAAGCTATTACCAATTTGAAATTTAAATCAATGAGGGATGAAAGTTGATTTCTGTTGAAATTTCAGCACACACACACACGCATACAACCACACAATGTATTGCACTCGAATCCGAAAGAAAACAGAGTTCCCCTTCCCTGTGCAGTGCAAAGTAAATCTCTTTAATGTGAACAATATTATCACGTGAACTAATTAGAGAACAGGAATCAAATTGCACATACTGTCATATGGATGAAACAGTAAAGATTTTTCATTGTCAACTCACTCTTGAAGGAGTCGTACCAATCAACAGCGCTGGCTCTTACATTCCGCCTCACAGGAATTCTACCTAAACAGAAAATGTAAAAGAAATGCATTTTATTATCAAAGTATTACTTTGCCAGAAAGTGCATCAGTTAAAGTTTGGAGACGCCATTATTGTACACACAGAGGTACAGACCAATAATGACATTCAAATACAATGAACAAAAATGCATTAGTGAAAGAGTAATCACATGAAGCTTTATGACAATATCTATATTGGATGTAAATTTGGAATATTGGAGGCAGTGAATAGTCGTTTGTTAACATTTCATACCTATGTTACAAACAAAACTCACCTGTCTCCAACACATTCATATTGATCATGATATGTGAAAGTGTGTTGCTGAGTTAAGACTGCATTATCAATCAGTTTGGGCACTAGTTTATTGATTGTGACTGTTTAGCATGACAACTAATAGTCGCTTCACTGTCGCCGTGATTGTTTCTCTGGCGATTTTGAATAACACACTGTGTTGGATTGAAATTGAATCTAACAGCTGATCAACTCCACACGACTCAACAAGCTTTGAAGGTAATGGAAGCACTGTCACCAAACGAGTCTTCAATACGTCTACTCTCCTATTTGTTCTAACAGGTATGAGTGTGTGGATTGCCACGCCTACTGCAGAAACGAATTTTTGGTAGGCCTTCTCGCCTCGATGATAATTGGTGCATTTTGCTACCACTTTTGTTGTTGTCTATGGTGGTGGATGTGGTGTTGATGTCAGTGATTATGGTGGTCAAGCAACCTTTTCTTTTCCTCTGTTATCTATGTGTTCGCATTTGTTCTTTTCTTGACTGGCTCTTTCTATTGCCAGTTGGTCTTTTTCGGCACATGTTTATGTGAAATGATTTATAGGTCATTCTTGAAACTTCAATTTTCGTGTTTCTTTCCGTAAAACTCTCGTATGTGTAGTTTGCCGTTATTCAACCTAACACAGTTAACGATTTCATTGATGGTAGTAGGTACATAGTCAGCATTCATTCTACCTCTTCTACCATCAGTGATGAGTACCATAGCCCCGATACTAAGATTTACCTTCAGTTGATATAGTGATTCTAATGTACTGTGATGTTTACGTTTTCAGTACTCTCACCTTCGTTCACGATGTGTGGAAATTAAGCAGGCTATACATTATTAGACAATATAACACATTATCAATCATAGTGATAACTTTATTCCAAACAGAGCTTTCAGTACAAATATGCAATTTCCTGCATGTTGTACAGTATTGCATAAATTTTTCTCATTACAAGAGTAGTAGGTAAAAAGGAGGGTGGCATTCAAATTGATGAAATCGTTCCATAAGAAAATGAATAGAAAATTAAATTAGGTGAAAAAATATCACAGGTCTAACTATTCCATTGAGTTGGTGGTTCAGCATTAGAATGCTCGAGAAACACACCACATGCCGTCTGAGACTCTATCCGCCGCCATAGACGCACTCTTACACCTGAACAAGAAGATACTACGTACAGTAAAGAGTGAAATCTGAGTGTGTGACGAGTAACCCCGTGCAGTGAAACATGAAACCACTGCCAGTGAAACATCAGAGCTAAAAGTTGAAAGCCGTTAGTTCCTAGCTGAATGTAATGGAACAAAATCAATACACAGGTAAAATATAGCCCTACTTACCCCTTCGTAAATTCGATTGAACAAGCAGTGGAACGACAATAGTTATAAGGAGGACTGTGTACCGATTCATCATGTTTATGTTTGATTATTCAATTCACCAGTATTTATACTTATGCTGAAATTGAGATGTCTGTGAGCGCAGTATAATCCTCGATTGTGGTTGGCCGGTTCACTCTGTCTTACTCTGTTTCACGTCCTGATTGGATTCTGAATGAAGTGATACTCATGGTTGATCAAACAACAACTTTTGTGCGCCAATTATAGTGAAGAGAGTAAGCAGAGAGAATTCGGAGAGACTTCACATTCACAAACATATTGGAGCATTTCAAATCTTATGGTACAATGGAGTAAACAAGTGAATGTGGAGGTTGAAGAAGAGAAATTCATTGCTGTTCACACATAAACCACCTTTGAAATGTTTCCACATTCACTTTGTGGCGCTGAACTGGCTTCTTCTCTAGCCAGAAAATTCAAAATAGAAATTTTCGGGGAAATACATTGTCAGTGAAAACGAACAGTCCACCAGTTGAATGTGACAAATCAAAGAGCGCTACTTCAACATCTATACAGATGAATTCATTGAATTGCAGACGGTATATTCATTCCCAACTCACCCACAACCACTTGTCGACCAACACAAAGAAGGCAAATTAGGCAAGAAATTAGGTGGTTCAAATCAAGTGTTGTTGAAATCGTCAAATAATTAATTCAGCAAATATTTACACATTATTTTAAGGCCGATCATGACTTCGGCACACTGACAGAAAATGCCGCATATTGAAATACCGCCAAATAACATTCCTAATTGAGTCCAACCACATTATTGCCAAGGTGATCACACCGTTGCCTAATGCAAACAACATATGGAAACAAAGACATACTACAACACTTTACTGACTGGTATGCGTGGTGTGGAAAGTAGGCGTCCAACCGATTTTACTAAAAGCCCATTTTACTTTCATCACAATAAACTCATAGAATGATAACAGCACTTTTATTACCATCAGTTTCATCGTGATAACTGGACGTGTAGTATTTGGTGAATACAGATTGCCTTTTTATTCCCTGTTAATGAGATGTGAGTAGAAATCTCTTTTTTAAGCAATATCGCTTTGGCGGTGATGGTGAGCTGACAACTTTCACTGCAATTGTGTGATAAGCCTGTTTGTATCTGAATATTAAAAAAAATTTGTTATATAGTGTTAAGATCATTATGAGTGTGGAAAACCTGCTTTGTATGTAGAGCCGGAAAAGTCGCAATGTCATCTCGTAGATGCCTCTTTGAGACCAATCATGTCTTCATTACGCATTTCCTTCATGCTAATGATGTGAACCAACCAGAATCTTGCAGAGAATTCATTTTGTAATCAATAAAGTCATACTATTGCTATGTTCAATATGACATTTTTAATGATAGAAGCTACACCAAACAATCAGCAATATTAATTACTCAGATGAATCATTTGTTACATGTTTATCAGTTTTAGTGGCATCTCATTTTTCAGCTCAAATTTCCTGTAAACTGCTCAGATTTCTTCAAAATAACATCAGGTATAGTCTCTGTATTATTACATATATATAATTACTTTCCAGCAGTCCGGTCCTGTATTTACAGAATCACAGTCGAAATAATTTACTTCCAGTGCACAGTTCTGTTGGGGATATTCTGCTATTATATAAATCGTGAGGGACTCCCATCTCATGTATTTGAGAAGAGAAAAGACAGCGGACAGATATCTCTCTTTGGTAGCTTCTCGTGAAAAGGGATCAACTATGTGGTTGTGTGTTTATGTATGCAGTAAAGACTGACAAGATGAGTCAGAGGTTACTGCCAGTAGCAAGGTAACATAGTGAATCAAAGTGTATGAGTGACAACTATGATGGTGAAAGTGAGAATAATTCTACGTAATAGAGCTTACTAAACAGTTAGTCAGCGGAGTGAAGAAGGAAGGAGATAATAATTACGCACCAAGGCCATGTTAGTAAAGGAGGCTTGATAAAATGTTTGGAAACACAAATTTCAGGTTTCTCCTTAAGCACTGCTTGGGTTTAGTTGCACGAATAGTATGTGGATGAAACCACCTCGAACTCTTTGGTTGTACTGGATTTATGACTGCGACTATGCATTGTGCTCTACACAGGCAAGTGGAGTGACTGGAGTTGCCAACAGTGAGATCTCGTCTTTTGACGTTTTGATGAATGGCAGTGTGTGTGTGGAGAAAATGAGGCGTAGCAAAGAACCATAGAACCGTCTTCGAATTACAATCAACTGTGGGCATTGAAGAACCCTTCTAATTGTACCTCTCTTGAATCTCAAATTTATGCCTAATTGTTTCTTCGCCAAAACGAGGTGTCGATTCGGAAGAGTCTGACTCTTTGGAACACATCACTACTCCGTCTATCTGTAGGTTAATTTGATCACTGATTAAAACCGAAGATTCATTGTGCATTTTAGAATTAGATCGTTGACATTCTTTTGTGATGGTTATACCGAAATTTGGATTATTAAAGGCGGATGACTCGCGCAGACAGAATAAAGTTGCCGTTAAGATGACACTGGTAAATATGGAAACTACGTCTCACGTAGCCGTAGTTCACCTAAATTGATTCACCATCTGAATTACTGAATCCACTAATTTGAAGATACCCTTCAAAAGATGGTTCGCTACTAACTTTCTTACAGGCGCCAAAGTTACGGCTTAAAATCTCAATTAGGAAAAATATGGCAATCTCTTGATATATTTGACTGTTCAAAGAAAAACAACAACACATTCGTGGAATTTTCGCGAGCGACATACGTGTCAAACGAAAGGATTACACAAACGAAATATTGAGAAGATTTCTGAAAATATTAGAGCATCGCAACTAATTCCCAAATGCAACTTATGGAGTGCATTCGACTATCTGTTGCATTTCCGTTTACCGCAGGCTGAATTTTCAAACTACAATCGTAGATGGTAATTCCGTTCATCTTTGGAATATACTCAAGTCTACTAGGTGACACCACTACATCGACCTTACCTTATCGTGTACATGCTAATTACGGAGTAATTGCTTCAATTCAACGACTGCTGTGTCATGGGACGTCCCTGATCCTCTCTTTCGAGTCATTTAACTCCTGACAACACTCAAGCACAGTTGACTTGAGGTGTTGTAGTTCTTCATCAGACACAGGAACCACCTCTTTTTTGACTTAGTGGAATTCATGAAATAAGTACAAAACTTGGGCACTGTGATGGAGTATAAATGCATTATGGATAAGAATTTATTTTGATAAATCACGCAGTGTTGTGCAATTATATTACCTGATGACGTTTTGAGCACAAACTATGCCTGATAATTATATCAACTTGACATGGTTATGAGCAATAGTTTGTGATCGAAACTTCATCAGTCAATATAACTGTACAAAACCGTGTGATTTATCAGAATAAAATCGTATCCATAATCGATTTAGAATTCCTGAATTCGACTTCCGTGTATCTGTCCGATATGTCTGTTTGTGAAGTCGGTGGCACAATTCTACGCCACATGATAATGCTGATTCAGTGTTGGTTTGATGTGAGTGGCACATTCGTTGAACTAAAGATAAATTCCCCTCGATTCAGTGCGATTTGTCCAGGATATCCACAAACTCCAAGGAAAGAAGAAGCATGTGCTTCAACTCTCACACAACTTCTTCAGTCACAGTAGACACAGAATACCCAAGTCCTGATAATGCACCATTAAATAAGGCATTACGCACACAGCGCATTTGTTCGATGCTTCTTTTGACAGTAATTGCTATTTTATAATAGTTCCTCAGTGTTGCTGAGTGTATGGAGTTCGATGCACGGAAATATCCGTTTACTTTATTAGAATGTAGTGATACATTCAATTTTTTCTGTCGTTTGCTGGCGCAAGCAAAACACTACCATGTTATCACAAATTGACAGCTGAGGGAGAGCTGTTGAAAACCATAGAGAACTAAACAGCTGTTTCTCAATAGATCATCAATACATGTACATTACACTGAGTGACAGGAATCTCACAATCATGGTGTTTGCAAATCAGTGAGTAGATTTCCTATTCTTCTAGAGCATATGGTCAACTAAATATCACTGGATCCTTCATGTCAAATCGTCACCAAATTACCTGTATTCACGCTCACTAACTCACTCAATCATCCTCCCATTTATCCAACCTCTCCTCCTTTCATTCATTCGTGGCATTGTTTATTTTGAGATGGTGTGGAAAATGAGAGGGAGAGGTGTGTGAGTGTAGGCTATGTGAGTGGAGTGAAACAGTCCTACAGAGCTCAAAATCTAAGGGATACATTCACAATTCAGGAAACCAATTAAACATGTAAACAGCCAAAGAAGTCAGTGACAGCGGAAAACTCACGAAAATTCACTGAATGGGAGAGAATGAGTAAGACGATGTAGAGAAATTCAAGTGAGGTAAGAGAAACGTGATCAATGTGCATATGGAAATCTGAGTGTGAAATAAAAATATAAGCATGAGTTCATTGAGAATAAAACAAAATCTTGTCTACGCATATTATATTCAACCACAGAAACCATAATATCTCTCATGTGTTCATTGAGATGCTAATGAAGACGCTATGAGTTTTATCAGTGTGACACCACTATTTCTAATTAACCAACATTCTTCCGATGACCTGAATCTTCCGATAACACAAAGCATTGACTGATTATATTTGAAGAAATACTCTTTTGTATTTATTGTATGGATATATATCATTAATCAGAATAAAATTGCTAATGATTCTGTTAATATTGATAATGGTATTATTAATATTACAAGGACTTGAATAACTCAACTAATTACCTGGCATCTGATTTAATACTCTCACTGATTATTTCACTTCAGAGAGATTTGCTCACACACTCATGCACACGAGATATGATAGTGAGAGATATCGATACACACGGAATGTGATTCTTTCACTGTACTTTTCCACTAACCGCCTAAAGATAATGTGTAGCTGCCGGTGGCTGAAATGATAACTTGAAAACTCGCATCTGCTTCTAATTCTCATGTCAGCGGGGAGGAAATCGGATGTAATGTGTT